TTCCCCTAAGGGATAACCCTACAAAAATGAAACCCACTTAGGTGCTTTGATGCAAGTCTGTGCACTTGCTTCAGAATAATAATTTAATTCAGTTACTGTTATTGCCCGCATTCACCAAATAAGCCTTTAGCACATACTAAAAAAAAATCACTTATAATCATGAATGTGCTTACACATATACACTTGAAACAGAGCCAAATAAAGACTCTTTACCTTTCCTAAGATATTTATCTCAACATTACAAAATTCAAACGTTGTGAGCAACAACTCTACTGGAGTTTAGTTTCTACATGTTTGTTTTACACAGCCTAACCCACTCTTTTTCCCAGTCCGTCAAGCCCTCGTGTCCCCTATACAGACATACAGACAAATGACTAATCTTGTGTGCTGACAGGCCAGCTGGTTGCTGCTTCTTGGCATGGGTAGAAGAGGGTGAGTTATAAATGTCTTTCCCTCATTGTCTTTGTCCTCTGCCCAGCCACAAAACTTAACTTCACACCCCTCTGTCAACTTTAGTTTAAATGAGCTAACAAGTTCAGAAGTTGCGGAGTGACACACAGACTATATGCGTGTACGTATCTTGTTTTCACTGGAAAACAGATTGGGGCTAGTAGGGGAAGCAAACTTGCAAGGTAGGTTTACAGCACGCATGGATTAAATTTGCCTCAGCTCCAGAAGTATTGACCCAGCTTAACCCAATCTAAAATGGAGCTGCCACAGTCCTACCACACCCACAGGCGTTCAGTGTTATCCCTTCCCTTGTAGCAGCACTCGTGCCAAAAATCAACCTGGGGAAAAAAAAAAGGCAGTTAGCATTTGGTGCAGGCAGCTCGGAGCCAGCTCCCTGCCTTGTCACATGGACACCGCCAGCACGGAACAGCAGCGCGCAGCACCGTGGCAGATGCAGCTGGGTACTTATCAGCACACAGGAGCCGACCCTAAGAGCACTTAATTCTGGACATGCAGCTCAGAACCTCATTAGTACTACAGCCAATGATGTGCTGGTTTTACAGAGGCACATATGCACTAATGGAGTTATTATTTTGAGAAGAACAGAAACAAGAAAAAAAATATTCATATGATAGCTTTGAGGTTGACAATTTCAGCTGGATTCTGGACAAGATCTTTTGGTCTTTTAAAATAAGTGTATAACCTTGTATCCTTCCCAGCAAAACTAGCCAAACCTATACAATCAAGGAAGAAAAAAACAGCACTATAAGCAAACATGGGAATATTTAATCATAAACATTACCGAGTCCAGACTTCCTTTTGGGTAGACCTTTGTCCTAAAGAAAATAAAAGGACACATCTATTCTGTATCATTCATGCAGAATCACAAAATCACTGAATAAACCACTGGTAACCCCACTGGTGACTGGGGAGAGATCAGGAGGGAGAAGGTAGAACAGAAGTGGCATAGTGTAGCCAGAGTGGCTAAGTTAGATGGAGGGAGGCATGAACAGCAGAGCATAAGGCAAAACATCTTGGGAAGTGTATCCTGATGACATCTTATCTTGGCTGAACTACACAGTGAGTCTGGGGGAGAAAACATTTTTATCCGCATTCATTTATGATCTCCCTTCCCCACTAATCAGAACACAGGTACACAGGTATTGTTCATCAATGCATATTATAGACAGCATGGTTATATCTTCATTAGATTTGTTCCTACTACACACATAAAATGAAAATCACTTCAGTATAAAGAACAGCTTTGTATGATTTTTAAATTCTTATAAGGAGCCTTTGAGGAAGGATTTTTAGAAAGGCATTTTTTCCCAGTGATCTGTTTATTAACAATAGGCATCATAACTTGATTTTTACCCAGCAGTGAACATGTAACAGCTGTTACTCAGTTGTAAAACACTGTCTACTTACGCAGCATTAAATAATAAATACAGCTCAAGACCTAGTACATGTTTTACTAAGCAATCTAATGATATGAAACAAGAAGTTCCAAAGATTAACCGTGAGCTGTATTATCAACTCTGTCCCATGATTTTGTGCCTATAAGTACAGAGCTATAATATTAAGGAGAAAAGAAATTAACAGTAACAAAAAAAAATTTTTGTTCAGTCACAGCTGCACTCACAGTATCCAGTAAAAGGTTTTTTTTTTTTTTTACAAATTTAAATCTCAGTTCAATAGAAACCCTTTCCTAATAACTTATACTGATTCTTTTGTACAGCCTTTTTTAGGATGACCTACATTGCTTGGGAATAAAGGTGAAAGAAGTCAACACTGATTTGCATGGTATAGTCTAACCCCAGCATATTGGCTTTTAATTTAGTAGCATTATTCATCAGCCTTTACTGCAATAGCCCTGCACAAAGCGATCAAAGTCACAGGTAAAACTGAATTACCTTCCGGATATAGTGGATCAGACCTTGCAAATCCTGAGATAGAATAGAAACTGCACTAGAGACACCCCAAATGCAGATGGAACACTAATGACAAAAAAAACCTTAATACTGTTGATACATTTTTGGGCAAGTGAGACCTAGCAGAACTGACCTTCAAAAATGCAAAGAAAGAACTAGCAGTGATCCACATGGAACAGTAATTTCCACAAACCACGGAATCTGATTTTGTTATAATTTCATCACCACTGAGTGGTCAACCATGTGAACCAGAAGAACAATGTGAAAAAAAAAAAAAATTAGGTGAGTCCAGAGTTCCAGAAATGTCAGAGTAATACAAATACACTGCAGCCTCACATTTTAATAGAGAAAGTTTCTGCCTGTATCTTTACCAAATTACTAACATATGAACAGTGGCAGTTTAATGTAAAACTGAATAATCACTGCATTTAATCCATAAGCACATCATTCTGGATGCCTTTTATAAGTTGTATTTTCATCTGTTTAAAAGGCAAAGTAAGCCATGGGGTTGAAAAAATGCCCATATTCTGCATATGGAACATCAATGATGAAAATCCTCAGTGCATGTCTTTGAGAGGAAGTTCTTTTTTTGTTGTTGTTTTGCTTTATTTTCTGTGTTGTTGTTTTTCTTTTGAATGTCAGTATACCAGAGAAGTCATTTTAATAATATAATTACTGAAGATTTTGGAAGGTTTACACAAGACCCATAATTGGGCATAAGACATCACATCCTCTGGTTATATACACAGCAATCTGGTCTGGGTAACATTCTTTGCTCTGACCAATGTGTGCGAGGGGGGGCGGGGGAAGGAAGGGGAGGGAGGGGAGGGAGAGGAATGGAGAATTAAAAATACTTCCTCAGATTAAATTTTCTTGACTTCATTTACTTAAAATGTTCTGATTGCATAAAATGCACTAAAATATTTATCGCGACGCACTCCGTAGTTAAAATACCTTGTTCTCAATGCGATATCCTAGATATTCAAACAAAAGAAATTCAGCTGACAATGAAGCCTTTTTTTTTTTTTTTTAATTTTAAAAAGGCATTTGTACACCTAAGACCGCACCACGGATCAGTCTTCTTTATCATGCCGGAGTTGTGACAGGTAATGCATAAAAAATTAAAATCCAATCCACCAGATAAGACATGCAAAATGTCTCCTCCAATCCCACCCCCATCTCGCCTTAAAAAAAAAAAAAAAAAAAAAAAAAAAGCAGCCCAGCCACCACCAGCCCTGCACATTCGGAGCACACGCACAGTGGCACCCCCAGAGCCACCACTGGGGCGACAGCGACAGGCCCGAGGGGCCGCCACCCTCGAGCCCCCCCGCACCCTGCTCCGGGCTCCATGAGGGGCGAATCCCACCTCGCCGCTTTCTCATGCCCTCACACAATGGTGCTTTCCCCCACTAGCTCCCAATTGTCAACATTTTCACGCTAGGCCCCGGCCGGGCAGGGCCGGGGTGCGGGCGGCCCGAGCCCCCGCTCCGCTCCGGGGCCGCGGGGGCGGCGTGGCCGGGGGGGATCCATGGCCGATGGGCCGCGGCCCCCCCGCCAGCGCTGGAGCCCGAGCCCGAACTGCGCAGCAGGCGCGGCGCAGCGGGCCCGGCCCCGCGGAGCCTCGGCCAGACCCGGGGCCGCCGCCCCCGGACACCATTTCGGGGAAGGTGCCGCCGCAAGTGGCCCGACACCATCGCCTCCCCCCGCCCCGCAGCCCCCCGGGCGCTCTCCCCCCGCGGCCCTCGGGGGCCCGGCCGGCCGCTCCCCGCGGGGAGACAGCGCTGATCCCGGGGGGCGATCGCGGCTCGCCAGCTCGCGGTCCCCGGGGACGGGGCGGGGGCTCGGGGGGGTGTCCTGTCCCGAGGGGCCGCGGGCGATCGGCTCCCCCCTCCCCGGCCGGGGAAGGGGCCGAGCCCCCGCCTCCCCCCGAGCCGGGGCAGAGCCTGAGCCAAACAAAGCGCGGCCTGAGCGGGAGCCAAGGGTGAAGCAGCCTGGGCTTTTCCTGCCGGTCCCTGCGCAGGGCGGGCCCCGAGCCCGGCTTACCCCGATCCCCGGCGGCGGCGGCGGCGTTGTTCCTCTCCTGCTGCTGCTGCTGCACCGGGCGCGGCCTGGACACTCGCCTGGGTCTCCTGTTGGCGGCTCGGACCGAGTTCATTTGCCGGCTCGTGTGGGCGGCGGGAGGGGAGGGGGGGAATCCTCCGGCAACCGGTGCCTCGGCGGGGACGGGGGCGCTCGGAGGGAGCCCCGGGGCGGCCGCCTCGCAGGCGCGGGCAGCAGGGAAGGGCGGGGAGGAAATCTCCGGGCGCGGGTCCCGCCGCCGCTGCCGGCTTGTTCGAAGGCAAAGGAGCCGCCGGCTCTCTCAGCGCTGCTGTGGGGGACGATGGCGCCGCGCCCCCCCGTCCCGGCCCCCGGCGATCCCGCGGTCCTGCCCGGCTCAGGCCCGTCGCTGCTCCGTGGCAGGAGGAGCCATTGACACCGCCAGGGACGCGCTCGCGAGCGGGCGGCCGTTGGGCGGCCGTGTTCCGCCAATCAGCGCGCCCCACACAAACGGCCGGCGCCGGCGCGACCAATCCGCGCTGCCGTACTATCGGTGCGCGGCTTGGGGAGGGGCGGGCGGGCGGCACGGCGCGGGGTGGGGCGCCGCGGTGCCTATAAAAGGCCGGGGCCGCGCGTGTGGGGCGGCAATGGCGGCGCTCGGGCCCGGCTGTGCTGGCGCCGGCGTCCGTGAGGAAGCGGCGCGGGAGCCGGGCCCGGGGTAGCCCGGAAGCCGCGGGGCCCGCCGGCAGCACACGGGCAGCGGAGGGGTCCGGCAGGCTCCCCTCAGGCCGTGTGTGATGAAGGAGAGAGGGCGGGCGTCTGGCGGCGGTGCCTTGTTGTTGTGCCGTGCGCCTTGGTAACCCTGCCTGGGCTGGGATTAGCCGTGCTGTGGGTGCCGGCTCGTTTCGGCTTCCTGACTGGTTGTTAACCATTTTTTCCCTCTGGATTTGTGTATGTTCCTTGGCCGGTGTGCCCACTCGTGTTTGTGCTGCCTTTTGCTAATACAATGATAATGCTCTTTTAGTTTGGGCTTAATAAAAGTGTACGAGGCTTTCCTCCTTTATTATGTTTGTTGTGTTGGTACACAGCTGATGGCCTCAGAGCAGGGAAAAGAAGTAAGCGAAGCTAGCTGTGGTGTTTTTCCTTTTCAGGAGTCCCTTAATAAAATGGATGGCATAACCCAAGCAGTGAGAAAGAGATCATCTCTTTGTGGGGTTTCTCAGGAATCTGCTTCTAATGCTGTGAAGGTGGGTTTGTGTGGAGTCCTACTTAAACTAAGCTCTGGGAGCTTCTGGAACCAGGGCCCTTGTCTATGCCTGAAAAGCAAAAGAGTGTTATCTGGTATAAAATGTAAATAAATGATGGTAATTAAAAACACATTAGGTAGGAGCTTGTTTGAAGCTGACAAATGAAGGTATAGTATAGGTAAAGGAAGTGACAGCTTTTTAAAAGAAAAACAGCTTTAAAAACACTTATACTTGTGATTCTAAAGGAAATGACAGTGAAATTCTAATTCTCAGTTCATATTAGACCAAATATAAATGTATGAGAAATCTCAGTAGTTGTTAAGGAACACTTTTTAGGCTTAATATTTTGTTGCCCTAAAGAATAACTGGAGAAACAGTAGAAAACATTTTTCCATGTCCAACTTCCCTGATATTAGGAGAAGACATAATGAAGGTAAGCTCCTGTGAGAAGAACTTTGTAGGGAAAAATAATATAAACATCAGTCTGCTCGGGGCCAGTTTCTGTCATAGTGATTGTTGGGCTACTGTGCTGAACATTCTGTAGAGCTACATGTAAATATCATTAAAGTATTTTTTATTTTTGGTAGTAGTGTTGTGAAACTCTGTTTTAACTCTTGAATGGGAAAAATAATCCTACCCAAGTATTGTGCTGAACTTACTGTGTCATGGTTAAGGATTTTTCTCCCCTCACTGGAAACTTCTAATCTTTAAACTGGAGTGTTTCAACTGTTTGAATCCATTTCTGTTCACCTCTTCCAGCTGTGCTCTCTTCACCAAGCAAATGAGTTCTTGGTGTCACAAGATTACCTGAAATTGATCAGTGGAGGTATACTCCAATTTTTTAGTACTCTGAATCTTTGAAAGCTTGTTCAAGGATGGATGACAAGCTGATTTTCACATAGAGCTTTCAAGAATCTAAAGGTTCTGATGCTAGAATAAAACTTTCTTTAATTGAAGCAAACTCTAAACTTCCTTAAGAAGTCTTGCACTAGTCTGAAACTGAATGGTCTCTTGGCCTACAAAAACACTTTCTATAATTATCTCTTTAAGGTCCAGGGTGTTCTCTCACTGACAACCAAAATACATCGAGGGCAATCTATAGAATTTGTGCAGAAGTTTGGGATAAATGTTCTGAGTTGATACAATAAAAACCTCATACTGAATTATACAGACTTTATTCAGTTACTCAATAAATTACTGGTGCAGAAAAAGTGGTTCCTGTAAGTACTCGGTGTTTGCTTACAAGGCATGGAGTAAAGAAATACTTGCAGTGTTCTTGCCTGACGTTCTTGGCTGTACTTTAGAAGGCCAAACAGTAGAAAGCCTGAAAACTCATCAAAACATTATTGACTAAATCTCTGTATCTCTTCTCATAGCTGTTACATGTATCCTGTCTGGGATTTGGTTGTAATTTCAGGTTTGTTTGTCAGTCTTTAAAATGTTCTACTTAGCCATCTTCTGTCTCCCTTGCTGCTGTAAAGCCTCTGAGAAGGAAAACACCATTCTGTGATGGAAATGGCACTGAAGGCCCAAATTAATAATTTGGGCTTCATTGTGTTGACCGCTGTGGAGGTGCTTTAAGCCATCCTGTATGATGTGCTAATAAGCCATTCCTGAATGTGGGTGTGATTTATACTGGCAAGATAATTTTGCCTTTGTCAAGACAGCTTTTTCTTTATTTAAATTGGGAAGAGAGGGGATGGGAAGTGGAGCTAAACTGTACAGTGATCTTTTTGCATAATTGTTGACAATAGAAATGCTTGCTGGGCTGGTTATGTTGGCCACAAATCACCTTTTGGTGACCCTTGAACAGCCTCACATTATGAACAGAAAGGTGTAAGACCTGGGTGAAGAGCTTGCTTGGAGCATTTATAGCATAAGCAATTTGGACAGAGTTGTCAAGTGCTAGCTCATCATATTCAGACCATCTTCTAAGCTGCACTGAACTTCAAATGAGTGTGTATTTAAATGTTAATGATAACTGGTTCTCTGTTTCTTAAAGAGTTGGCTGCTGCTTTGAAGAGATCACCTTCCTTCCTGCATGAAGGAAGAGATGCCACAGAGTGCTTAGTGATAACAGTAACTTGTTAATTATGTGTTAACATAGAACAGTTAGAGATGAGGCAGCTTCATAGAGATGTAGTGCAAGTTGTCACGAAGGGGTTCCCTCTTTGTGAGGTTGATGCGCAGAGACAGAAGAGCAACTTTGAGTCTGCTGACTTTCTCTAAAGTGAAGAAAGTTAAAACAACTTAAATATCAAGATAGTGAATCAGTATTTCTTTTCTAGAATCTCAGAGTATTGCTGTGAGATTAGAGGTGGTGGGGTTATGGAATAAGCAGGATTAGGAAATTACTACAGGACAGTGCAAAGTGGTAACTCAACAAGGCTCATTGAGGCCAGGGTGATATGCAGGAATCACCACTATTTTATTCTGTTTAATGTATATGTCTACTAGCAACTTGAAAAGCCTTGCTTCAGAGCCTATTAGAAATGCTTTGCATGTGGGACAGATTCATTTAAGTTGTCATGATCCATCCTTACCCTGAAGATGTGGGTATTGTTTTAACAGTTGATCAAAACAAATCTAGGATAACAGATATCTGTCAATGAATCTGTGATCTGTGAATTACTTCTAAGGGGTTCACAAAATGTAAGGAAGAACAGCCTTCGACTTGTATATGATGGCTTAAAGCTCTACTTCAAAATTATTATTATTGAAAATTGGAAAAAAAAAACAAACCAACAACCCCCCCACTGAATTGATGGCTTTTAGTTAAGTAACAAATGGACAGTGTTCTCCCTAGCTTTTGCTTCCTAATATTTGTGAGAGTACAAGAAATATTTTGAGAATATGGTTGTAGTTAATTATGCAAAGCCCACCACAGAGTCTTTACCTACAACTTGTGGATTTGAACAAGAAATACAAGGAGTCTTTTTTTTTTTATTGTACTTTTTAATCGATTCAAGTGGTTTTGCAAAGGAACCACATGTCTCTCCCTCTCTGTATGGATGAAAGTGAAGCAGAAAGGGCTGAAATGACTTGTCCAAGAGCATTAACAGGGCTATGAACAGAACCCAGGGTACAGGAGTCCTTACCTAAGGCTTTCTCCATGGTGTCATGTTACTGCTTTTAGAAGTATAAGAATTTTGTCTATTATTTTGAACCATCTCATATGCTGCTAATATGTCCCTGGACTAAAAATACTGCATTGAAGATTTGGGACTGACCCAGTGTGAATTTCTGACTTGTAGCTCTTTAAACTTAGAGGGATGTTTCTCCTGAGGTTGGAATATGTGAGCCTTTCAGAAATAGCTAATGATACCTGGAACTGGTTGAACATGCTTGCTGTGCAGCTCAAAAATTCCAAATGTCATTTTGTTGCAATGTGTTTGACCCTCAGTTCCTCTTAATTGTGTTTTACAGCCCATCTCATGCAGCTAGAATCTTCCCACTCTTGCAGAAAGACTCTTAAATCTCTCCTTTTATCTGGATTCCATGTCTCCTGAAATCCAGCTTGATGTTAGCTGACCTTCCTGGGTTGCCTTCTGGGTGAATGTCTGTGGCTGGGATGTTTTCTGTTGCTATACCAACCTGGTTTCTGCACTAAAAATAAAGACCTCAGGGTGGGGAATGTGTGTTGTTTCCTATAAGCTCACATGACTGTTGCAACATGTTTATCTAACATGTTAATTCTAATTCTTCCCTAACAAAAACTCTCTGGAAGCATGAGTAGTGCTTCAGTTCTCGTTAATTTTTTAATTTTTTTTTTTTTTAATAAAAGTAACTTCTAAAAAAAGTCCCGGAGGGATTGTGTCTGAGTTTTAAAGCATTATTAGCTGTCTTGGTAGCAATTTCATGGCTAGATAAATATCTACACAGCTGCCTTCTGGGTTTTTTGGGAGTATGTTCAGTGGAGGGAGAGAGAGTGGGAGTATGGAACTGTTTCAAGTATCCATACTATATTTTCAGCCCATTTTTCTTGACAGTACCCAATGAAATCCCCAAACTTGGTCCTCTGGATTGTACTGAGTTCAGGTGTTTCAGATAGTCTGAACTGATACAAGGCTTCATTTTTAAAATGAATTAAAATAGTTTGGGGATAAATCACATAATTTTATGGGTGATGAAGTATTATTTTGACTTGGTGGGTCTAGTTCACTCAAGGTTTGCTTCTTGCTGCTCATTTTCAGACATGTATGTACAGAGATCAAGTATGGGCTTCACTCACTTTTTATTCCTTGGAGCCTACTTTTGTTTTGCACATTGCATCAGCAGTATGTCCATATGCTGAGTTCTGTCTTTAGAGCTGGGGTTTTCTGCCCCCCAAATAAGGTTGGTGTGGGTGTTATTTATATTGCCTTGGAGAGGATGCAGCCTGAAGAGATCTTTCAACATAATGAATTGAGTCAGGTCCCAAATGAGAAGTGTTTATAAGAAGTACATCCAATACTCCCAACTGGAAAAATCAATCATTTAATACCAGGAGGCTGGAGTTATATGACGGCCTGGCTCCAGATTCAGACCTAGGAAAGGAAAAGAATGGCTTCTCTATGAAATATTTTGCTGGTTTAAGGGGTGGTTCTTCCCTAAAAATATCTCAGTGGCATTCTGAGCTCCTCATTTTTACAAAGTACTTAAGTTCCCTGAAGCTGATCTATCACAGCCTAGAGGGACAGGAGCAGTTAGGGACACTTTGCTTCACCTTTGTTATGAACAGCTAATATGAAACAAGTATGAGGAATCTCAGCCTTCGTTTTCAATGTGTCAAACAGTTGGCAGCATTGTAGAACATCCAAAGTTGGGGTGCTTAAATGGGATTTGATATCTCCATACAGAAAGGGGTCAGCAGTGAGAAGTGATGCTGCTTTTAGTCCTGAAGGCAAGAAGACAAAAGTGGTCTCACCATCAGCACATGAATACAGCTGCCTTCACTTCAAATCTGGAGAGCAGGTGGGTGTGGGTTTTATTGGTACTGACAGTTTTAACCCCAACAGCAACTGTTGTTGTTAACTGGTGGGAACAAGTTCTTCATGGTAAAAAGAGAGAGATTACAATTTTTCACTTTGCTGCCTGGTAGACAGATGCCATTTTAAATGTCCTGCTCCAAAGCTGTATCCTTTTCTACCATAAGAGTTCTCTCAGTATAGAAAGATTGGACCCGCCCAGGAAAAAAGAGTGTGTAGCATATTGTGTACATGTGTCTTGGCAGCTTGCTCCTCTAGTTGGAGCAGGTAGAAGAGAGGAAATTAGGTCCTTTTGCTCCATCTTGCTGCCTCAGGTGGACCTCTTGGTTGGGGTCTATCTGATAAGTGGGGGTAAGGTCTAATTATTCTTATGACCAAGAGATTTCATAAAAAAGCATTTTTGGATGCCCTGAAGAGTGTTTTGCAGTTGGGGTCCAAATTGCTGTTGCCCTTAAGAAGCAGTACTGATCTTTACAGTCACATTTTTGCTGCCCCTACCCTGTACCCTGTTCTGTCAACCAGCATTTCTGCAGCAGCACAGGTAGGCAGGTCAAGGAGGTAAAATGACTGCAAACTAATCTAGCTGAAGGCACGGCTGTATTACAGACATGTGCAACGGTAGTGCAGAAAAGTGGTGGGAAAGGATGGCCCTTCCATGAAGGAAGCTTGCAGCCAGACTGGTTCACTGTGATCCTGGAAGCATGCCTTTAGTATTTCCCTGGGCCTGTGAAAGTTATTCCTGATTAGATCAGTTTTATTGGAATGCTCTCAGCCATGGCTGTGCTGCTGTGGGAGCTCTCTGGGCTGCTGCTGGAGCCCCACATTCTGCTCGGTGGTTGAGCTGTGCATCCAGGCAGGTGGCAGCACGTACTTCAGAGGTGACCAACTCGGGAGCACACAGCGAGTAGAGACTTTAAGCTACATGACTTTAAGCAGTTAATTTCTCTCTGTTGCCACGTGGTGGTGATGTTGGTTGTTGCCTTCAAGGAGCTTTGGACTTGTGCTGCTGAGGGCACGTGACAGATAAGTTGGCAAGGAATGTCTTACAGGCCAGTACCGATAGGTGACTTTCTCCAGTGCTGCATGGTTTGTGCAGTTATCCACATGGTGGTGATATGTTTGCTTCCATTTATCCTCCATTTTCCATGTACACATTCCCACGCCTCAGCAGGGTCAGCTAATCAACAACAGGAGATGTTTTCCTAGGAATAACTGACAAAATATAATAGATTTCAAGAGTAACATGCTGCAGGTATCCCCTTTTGAGTCTACTCAGTTGTCATAGGTTATTCCAGATCTAGGTTTTCCTATCCATCTTTATCACATGAAAGGCTTGCTTGTGATCTTTTTGATTCCCCAATTACCCTGTTTCCATGGTAAATCCCTAACGTGTCAGGTTCTTATCATTGTCTTATTTTATGCTGATAAGCAGGCACAGAGGATAGATCATCCATTCAGAAGAATGGGTGTGTTTATTTAGTGTTTATAAATGAGATCAATGGCACTGTAAAATCCTCTCCACCAACTCTTGGTGATGAGCTTGAGTGTGATCTAGGCCTTAATATAATTTATATAGTATATGTAAATGTACAGTCACTGTAAGGACAGCTTACAGAACAACTGATTTAAATATGTTAAATAAAATCTGGTTCTCTTCCACTTGGCTGTGTCCAGTACTACAAACTCAGATTTACTGAGTCACTGAGTTCCCAAGTCTTAAATCTTGTTGCTTAAGTTTTTATGGTTTTTACACAGCAAATCAGAAAAGAAAAATGGGAAATCAAGATTATCATATATTTTCAAGTCTCAGCTAAGATGAGAAGAAAAACTTCAGTAAGGCTAGTGTAATATTCTAGAGAATTTTCCTTTTAGGAATTAGATAAAGGGAAGTGATGTCTCTATGCTGTTTTATGGAAACATTACTTACTGTCATTCTGAGTTCATGTTCAGCGTCAGTGTAGAGAAGCTGTTACTCTAGAAGTTTATAAATGTTTAACCTTTATTGTTTGTTTTGTAATCTTCATTTCTTAATAGCTGATCCTTGTATTTGTTTTTTATCAAACTGGTCATCTTATTACTGTGTGTGATTAAATGAATGACTTTGTCTAGTAAGCTTGGCAAAACCAGGCATATTTTGATGCAAGTTGGGTTTTTTTCAGATTTACAGCTGTGTAGGTGGCATTTCTTCTGCGAAAGAAGAACAACTATTAATTACTCCACACTTTGGGTGTGGAGTAATTAATAGTTGTTCACAACAAAAAATGCAGCCAGGCTTTTTTTTTTTTTTTTTTTTTTTTTTTTTTTTAATGAGGCAGAAACAAACTGAGAAGAAGGAAAAGCATCAAATAAAATTTTCGCTCTCTATGCTTGGTTCCAACATGACATTAGGTGCAGTAGTCAGTGTTGGGCAGTACTGGGCTGTGGCTGCTCAGTGCTGGAATTTGGCATAGCTCTGAACATGTTTGGGTGGAAAGGGGAGGTCCAGCTCTCACAATCCCAGAGTTTCCACAGCCTGCGTGAGCATCTTGAGAGGTGACTGGTTCTGTTGCACCACACTCTGTTGTGTGCAGGGTTTCCACACTCAGCCTGTGAGGTGTGGAAAAAGAAGGTGGCAGTCCAATCTATGAGTCAATTTTTGGAGGTGTGGAAGAGCAGTCAGTGAAGGAACATAAAAAGGTGAAGATTGGGGAATGGAATGTTTGGCGTTGGTTTTAATTAGAAACATCCTGTTCATCACTCATATGTGAGATAAAAAGGGAAGAATATCCATTACTACAGTACACTGACAGAGGAAATATCTGTATTATAGTGAGCAATTCTAATTGAGCTGCCAAGTGTAATGGAGTTGAAATACAGACCCTATTCCAACAATATTTCCTTTATTATAGTGTATGAGTGAGAGTCAACTGGCATTGTATTTATTCCTAATCTTTCTGCAACTGATGACTTTTGTCTAAAATCCAAAGTACTTCAGTACTAACTCAGTATTAAACTTAGCAATTACCTCTGTCAGCTAAAGGATGAATAAAGCTCAGGAAACAAACCTTTCTTTCATAAAACCCAAGGCTTCTTGTACCTGTCCCCTCACAAAGGTACAAAGATGGCACTGGTACCCTGACCTAGAAGAGCGACTGTGTAAATCAGAGCAGGAAGCTGATACTTGCAAAGCTCAGAGCTGAAGGTTCTTTTGGTTTTCGGGGGGAGCTTTGTTCTTTCCGAGGAGGAACCAAGCACTGAAGTGCTCTGCTCACGCTCTCCTAGGCGTGGTGCTGTGACTCGCTGAGAGAGGTATGTGCTGCCCGTGACTGCAGCTCATCACCTGGAGTGACCTCTCCCTGCCAGCACTGCAAACCTGCTGCACTGAGACTGTTACTCCAAGTGGTGCTGGAAATTAGATTAAAATCTGCTGCTCCTGGATTTGGGTAATTAGCTGGCAGTACCTTTAAAATACTTTTTTAGAGCATTTGGACAATGATGTGAAACATGCACCATTTTCAAGGCTTAAAGCTTACTAAATTAAGTGAAACAATCTGAGACCCTTCCACATGTCAAAGGGAAAAGTTTAAGAGGTTTAAATTCAGGGTGTTCTACATTATAAAACTTAACAAATCTCAATATAAATGGGTACAAGTAGTCCTTCCACCCTCCAGCTGATACAAAAGACTTTCCTCACTTTCTATGAATGGATCTATGTAGACTGCAGCTTCCTCTGAACCAAATATTTTTCACTTCTGATTAAAAAGCATGTGAAGAGATGTTGCAAAGTC